TCAACTCCATGGAAATTTAACAGCAGCGTAAGGAAAAATCACCTTTCCCTTAAATTTCTTGGCAGCTTCTCTGAACTCATTCTTTAATTTCTCGAATTCAGGACTTCCTTTGGAAATGAACAGGAGATTGTGTGATTTGATATCACCACCGAAAATAATTGGTGCAGCATCTTGAGTAAATTCACTCACAAGCGGCAACCTTTGAGCCTACAATGAGTAGTTCTGAATCAATGATTGAAAAGCACTGTTTGGATGGCTTCTCTCTATGATTAATGGCAATTTAATCCATGTTTTCTATATACAATTTATTAATTAAATGCGTAACTGAATCCTATTTTATTATAATAGAAATGTAAGAAATGATTAGATTTTGTATAAATTCTCCTTTCTAATAGAGTATAGCATAACTGAAGAGAATACAATAATCTATTTTAGGTTAGCAGTGATTGTGATTGTTGACCTAAAAAAAGAACTGATCCATTTTGTTTAATAGATTCAGCTTTAATTATGAAAAAATGAAAAACCGTTGCAAACGAGAGAATTCAAAAAGTACCTGAATCCAAGTCTTAAGTGAATCAGCTACTAACTTCTCACTAAATTCGGCCCGTCCCTCATCGAATTTCTTTAACAATACAATGCCCTCACTTTCCAGTTTAATCTCCTTTGCTATATCACCTTCAGTAGTGATACCGAATGGTATATCATCGAATCCTGCAGCTACTTCCAGGAAAACTTTTGCATCTGCGCTTTCAGTATCCTGAAAAGTATTCCGCAAAAAGTACACTAAAACAGCTAAAAACAAAAATTAGCGAGAAAATTCCAAACAAAGAATACCTCAAAGTAACCAATGACGACCACTTCGTTGTTTTCCTGGAAGTCCTTCACATCATCGGCTGAGAGCATAGTTTTGGCCGCTGGACCTGTCTTCTTTTTTAACCAAGCAACGATAGATGCTGCATCTCGTCCACCACCATATTCCTCTGGTTCACCCGAATGGAATAACTTCAGCGTTGGGTAACCACGTACCTAAAATACATTTTACTTCGTACAGGTCAAAACTTTATAAATCTGTAACTTTAAACAAGAACATTCTTCTTCTCAATTCGTTAAAGAACTCAGTTCATTAAAGTTTGATTTGTTATATGAAACTTAAGAAATATATGGAAGTTCATTTATAAAGGTCTTAAACAACAACTAAAACAGGATGAAAATCTTGTAACCCACAGTATATATGAAAATTAAACGTACTGAATAAACTGATTAACATACCTCGTATTTTGAAGCAAGCTCGCCGTGTACGGTCGCGTCGCACTTTGCAAGCTTGATTGGGCTATCTTCATCCTTCAGCAGCTGCGCTGCTTTTGCATATTCAGGTGCCAAAGCCTTGCAGTGCCCGCACCATGGTGCATAGAATTCAACCAGAATAAACTCATGTGCTGCTATTGTGTTATCGAAATTATTCTAAAATTTCTATCAAAAAATAAAAAGTTTCAAAAATTCCACTAGAAAAGGACATTGCTAACAAAGGAAAAATAATATCAATAAGGTTGAAAATCATATGAAATGAATAAGGTAGATGATTGACTAGAGAGGGATAAAGCGGATATTTTAATCAAAAATAAAAAAGGTGTACGCTAAAAGAAATTTCGGATTCATTTGCAGAAAGAAGACATGACCAATTGACGAATTTTCTTACTGAACCTTGTTCAAGCATCTTTCAGAAAACTATTTTCAAACGCATTTTTCTGTATTTAATTAATTGATGTGAGACAGCGTGTAAAGAAACAAGATGGTAATTCAGTCTTTTTACATGTCACATTTTTTCAAAAATGAGTTATTTCGTGTAAAAATGATTCCAGTCAGTGAAAAATGTATGTGTTTGTGGATTTAATTTCAAAAACTATTACAATCACTTTGTATAATCGAGAAGAACAACTCATAAGCACTGCATAATCCTTCAGCTTCATGTAAAATTTATATGACAGAAAAGACAGAACGGAGAAAAGTTTGAAGCGATGTTGACTGACAAAACTGTAGTGAATGCGAGTCTCGTATTGGAGATATGTGATGAGACGCGAGGTCCATGCAGATCACGTTAGACAACACTTCGCAAGAATTAACCTTTGTAAGGACGAGGACTCCTTCATCTTCCTCTACACTTGCTTCTTGCGCCACCGGATGCAATACAAATTGAAGTGACAGGCTAAGGGCGACGACCAACCTGAACATGACCTGAAACAGCGAATGAATTCAGCACGACGCAACACGACACCTAATCATAGCCGGCCGCCATGTCATCCATCGTCTCTTTGATAACAGCCTACCCACCCATCTTTCCCCTCCCCCTCCCTATCCCTCGCGCATAGTGCATTGTGTGTTGTTCGCCCATTGGATAACGAGCATGACACACCCCCACAAAATCATTGGTTGTGCTCTACGGGACGGAATCTGCGTGAGGATGATTACGCACCATTCCGTGATTTTCATCTTTTGTATTTCTAAGACGGTGTGTGTTCACGTTTGTTGTCGCGAAAGCATGAAAATAGAAGATGTAATTTCATTGCTAGGGATCATAAATTCTCACTCATTTTCACCTAATCCCATCATTTTAGTTTCAAAATTGTTGAAAAACTATTCACGAATTGAAGATGATAAACTAAATCCTTGCAAAATATTGATGAAATCATTACATAGCTGCTTCAACATAAAACATTAAAAAGCTATCAGAACAGACTTCCCATGCGTTTAACCCTCTGATTGAAGAAGCCTGAGGATCCATCATGCAGAAGTTAAACTTTAATAAGAATAAAACATCCAAATCACCAATGTGGCATCTGTGACAGAATACCTGATGGGTGGATTCATCAGTAAACAATTCCAAATTGAAAGTATTACATGAAGATGAATCGCATTTTTTTCTTACAATTTGAGCCTACTTACAGACAGTTGCTTTCGTCAGATTTTTGTGTGCATCAGTAAAATTCAAAATTTGTTTATTTTTTTCGAATTCATTTTAAATCCAATTTAAAAAATGACCAAATACCATAACATCAAACTGTCCACTCATGCCGTGTTTTTGCGATAAGTTGAAAATGATAAATAGGTCATCCTACTCCAAATCTCACCATCTAAATCTCCGTAATTCGGCCATGTGACATCTTAAAGCGAGTTGTCATTATTGTTAAAAGATCTTTTTACAATCTGCTTTGTTATTCCAATTCATTCTATAAATTTATTTCAACATTTCAAGAAATCAGACACACCATTTTATTTTAACTGTTCATTTAAATTAAATAACTATGTTACTCCAAAAAATTAATATTGTCAAAAAAGAATTAAAAATCGCTCATATAGAAATTTGCCACATTTTTCACAAATATTTACATGAAGACATTTGTTTAGCAAGTGAGTAAATTATGAATTTTGACATCATCAGTTTTCTGTCAAGTTTGAATGGCTTTAAAGAAATTAAAATTCTTACAAATCTTTAACTATCGTAAAAAATTTGCAGTGCAGGTTTTTCAGAGAGTGATGAGAACGTGTTTTCTAATAGCAGTTTACATCACTAATTTTCATTGTTACAGAATAATGTGCAAAACAGAGTGTTTCTGAAAAAATTTTTTGATTTCTAAAGCTAATGTCAAAGTAGTGTTTATAAAATTTTAAAGTGGGATAGCGTTTAAAATCACATTTATTTAATGATTCGATATCTTCTCTGGAGCTGGCGAAATCGGTGCTTACAAAATTGGGAACACCACTTTATATATCATATTATTTAGGGGAATATCACTTGAGAAAGGTCCACACACTAATTAAATATAATATTTAATTCGATTCAAAGACTTTTGGTAGCTCAGTCTTTCTAATCTCTTCTTTACAACGGCGGTGTTTCCTTATGTTATTTGAAACTTCTGGAATTTCTCAGTTGCTGCCGCTTCTGAATCAAAATGAGATATTAATCGGATTTAAATTGAAACACATCAACAAGATTCCCCGTTGCTCACGTCAACGTTGCTGTAATTTCGAAATGTTTTCAGAAGAAAAATTACGAGTTTTAGCATATGTCATTCCAGCATTTCCATAGAAGTATATAATTTTCATCTAATTTGTGACATTAAAAGTTAGCATTCAATAAAAGTTGACAAAATTAATTACACTAAATAAGTCGTTAGCGCCTTAGGAGGAAAAGAAGAAAGGAAGAAATTGAATGATGAAGAAAATGAATAACTACCAATTGTAGCTGTAATTGATTGATAAGAGAATTCTCACAACTTCATATTCTCCATTCTAACAGCCTGAGCACGATGTGATGTAATTCCTTACTATTCAAAGTAAGTACAAGACACTACCAATTCCCTTAAACAGTTCTTTTTTTGTAAATATTTTTCCGTTCTTCACTTCTCTGAATGACAGTTTTGTCATACTTAATTTTTCATAATTCATGTTTTGAGATTTGAAACGAATCAAGACATTACCAGAGTTTAGAAACAGCCATGCAATGGTAAATATCCGTTTCATATCGAAGCTCTTACATGAGCCAAGGACCGCTGTAGGTAATCTGGTAGGAATAGTGTGCTATATCTGAGTTATGTTGGAGATCAGCTTATATTTGAAGCAGGATAAGTTAGAGAAATTTTAAAATTGAGAAGCAGAATGATTTCGTGATTTTGCTGTGCGGTTTTCACGTAGTTATGTCTTAAATTATATATAAAAATTTCAAGATGTTTGGTCATATCATTCGTATTAATATTCCATTGTCAGGAAGAAAAAGATGATTAGCCAGGATGTTGTGGATATTAATAAGTTATCTTCAACTTTTATCGATAAATTAGCACCCAGCACTTCAGATGGCAAGTCTCATTTATTACTCCAAATTTTAATTTTCGTCGCAAAGAATTTTTATACGAAGACATGCTGCTTTATTGTATTTATGGCTGAAAATTAACAACGCCCTTGTCTTTCAATATGTTTTTTCGATTTTTGCAGAGGAATCAATTAATATGGAGAGATGGACTCCAGCCGGTGAATCTTTGGATGAACTGCAAAGTGTGCAGTTGTGAGTTTTGCGTTTTAGCTATTATGTTTGTAGAATTTTATTCAGTTGTTGGTAAATGAAAAGTGGTTTAATGGTTAATTTTGTGGTGGTCTGATTTTTTAAAGACATTTGCCTTATTCAGTTTTAAAGCTATCTCATTTCTTGAAAACTTTTATTTGACAATAGTTTCGAGGAATTTATTCGTGTTCTATGACTTTGGGTTTTATCCGGAATTAGTCGGTCGAGCTCCTTTTATGGTCTGTTCTAGAAATGAACAAATTCGTTTTCGGGAACTTAAAGAGGAGCAGGAACGTCTGAACAGTTCACTGCTGTCTTTGTCTACACATTTTGCACAAGTACAGTTTCGTCTGAAACAGATCAGTAAGGCAGATGCATCTGAAAGAGATGTAATATTTTTACCTCTTCTTTTTAATTCCAAATTTCTAAAGCAATGTTTTTTGGCATTTTTCCTTGAGTCGGGAGAACTGGAAAAAAACGTGTTATGCAATTTTCTTACTATTTGATTTGCTGAATTTTACATTTTTCGTTTCTGTACATAAAAAGCACTGCTGTAAAACTGTTATCACTTCGTGTTCATGCATTCTGCAGACCAATAACTTCAGCGATTACTGAAAGAACTGGAAAATTTTGCTTTCCGTGGTTGTACCGATTTGAGACTGGAAAAACAAAAATGCTCGTCGGTGATAAATAATGGCAAAAAATGTGATGTGGATCAGCAAAGGGAACGACAAAAGATACTTATCGCTCATTTGAAACAGCAGCTAGAAGACTTGGAAAAGTATGCTTATGAAAGTGGTGAGGGTGATCTTCCTAGCGCCGAAGTCATGGCTAGACAGGTGTGTTTTACTTTTGTCCAGTTTGTCCACCATTAGTTTACTGGCCGTATTTTTCATTATTTTGCTCTGTGCTGTTGTGCATGTTGTGATACTTGATGTGATCTGAGAAATGTTATATTTTAGAAAGCAATTATTGATAAGCTTCATGAAAAAGTACAACTGGATCTGGAACTGGATAGAATGTCCCAAAGCGATTTGCAAAAAAAAGTTGATGAGGCGTTAAAAAAGGTATTTTCTTCAAGTTGGGCGAAAATTGTTCCATGGATTCAAGATTTTAAGACTAACAGAAAAGGTGTTACAGTTATCCTCCATGTTTTAAGAAATTGTATATACGGTATGTATATTTGCATCGATATATCTCTTTAGCTTGTGAACCCGATTAAAGCGAAAGAGCAGTTAGTGGAGCAGTTGCAAGCGCAGATTGTCGATCTTGAACGATTTATTGGTTTTCTGCAGGCGGAAACTAACGAGCGTCTACCTAATTCAATTGCCTCGCTACCCACTGTACCAGCAAAGAAGGGCTCATTCATGAATTTAATCAGATTTAACCAGAAATTCGAACGTAATCAACTGAAGCAAACACCACAAGGAAGTCATTATGGGCAAGTGTTTTCAAAACCATATTCAAATTCGTAATGTTACATTTTCTGTAAAGTAATGAAATGGTCAACAGATTTGATAATTTTAGTGATGAGCGAGCACGGATAGAATTAGCAGTTGATGCAACAACTCAAGTGATGGAGAAATATCTTCTGCTTTCAGTGGATACAGACACATCTCATGCTGAGTCGTTTAGTAAATCATGTGATGAGGTTTCTTATTTGGTGTCATTTTTCTTCCTAAGCGCTATTCTATGAATCTTAGAGCTGCTTATAGGTTGTTGTGAACACTGCAGGATAACAGAGCGATGTTAAACTATTGTTTGCTTTATCATATTTTTTTTTACATTGCAAACTTGAAATACATTCAATGCTTGATGGCAGCGAGAATAATACTGAATTATTAGCTTCAGATTGGATAATCTTTTTACCACTGCGCTATTACTTCTGAAATTATTATTCTACTGCATGGAATTCATTCACTATTTAGTATTTTACCATTCATAATACGATTTTGACAAAAGCCTACTTTTGATGTAGAGTTAAATGATACTGCTTCCTTACGTGATTTTTTAAATTTAGATTTTTAAACGTAGCGAAGAAGAAGTGGTTGCCGTCATTAGAAAACAGTTATGTCCCGCTATGCGTGATCTTTTGGAACATGGTATGAATAATGTTGTCAAACATTTTGTTTATTACACATCTTTGGGTTGCTATCCTGGAGGTTCGCGTGCTGCAAGGAGCACCAATGGTAAATTTTTACAGTAATCGATATTGCTTCTTTATATGGTACATATCCTCCATAACTGATGTGTAAATTATTTAAAATAGATTTTCTCGTTACAATATAAACTTCGGATAAAAAGATTTAGCGCGAAAGCTGGAACACGTTTGGGATGTTGTGATGTATTATTATGATTCGAAGTTCGGTCGTAAATACTGTGATGCACCCATTCGACGTCTTTCACAAAGTTATCAGCTCGATGTGATTGCAGGTCGAAGTGTCACATCAAAACAGGTTGAAATTCAGTTCTTTTGAACTTTGAAGCGAGAATTTATTTTACTTTGATTCCAAATCGCCACTGAATTGTAATCCAGTGGTGATTTGGAATCAAAGAATTTTGTAATTGATTTTCTTATTTGCAATTTTAATTTTAACTGTAACATATTTTAATGATTAAGTTCTTTTTATAGCTTTTACTATCAACCATCGAAAATATTTCTTCAACCCATAGTCGACTGAAACGTTCTCCCGATGCAATGTGGAAGGCTCTGGTGTCTGCGGCATTGAATGAGAAAAAGTTGCCGGCGTGGATACGAACAATTTTCTGCACAGAAGAAATTGTTGGACAGTGTTTTGCACAGTGGTCTTATGTAGCCAGAACAGGTATTTGAATGTTTAAAAGTTTAAAAAGTTAGCAGAAAACTGAAGATCAGATTCTCACGAATTTTAATTGGACCTTACGTCTTGAAATTGAAGTAGTAGAGCTGGGTGGTATTAAAGCACAGTAGCATATATTTCCGGAAGTTTAAAGAATGCTACGATGGTAAAAGATGATTTAAATAATTGGTAACCCATTAATTAAATAAGGCGAAATAGGTTGATGTTTGACAATGATTTGTTCTGAAGCTGCATGGACAGTTGAACTTGATATGCTTTTTCGCTAATACGAAGAGGCATATTGTAATAGATGTTCCGAAAATTCTGATAATGCACATCTTAAAACTTCCAATTTTCATTCGTATCATTTAAATATCAATAAACTGGGTAATTTGCAGGCTGTGAGGACACTTGCCAGTTGCTGGAACATCTTCATAAGTATAATTTTCATCTACCGGTGGATTTGGCAGTGCGTCCCTTTCATCAAATGAAGGATGCATTTTAAAAAGTTTTCTGGAAGTGACATTGCTTTTCCACATTTCTGAAAAGTCAGGCTTTAATATATTTAGTAGAGCTTATTATTTCTTTTTTTCCTGCCCTTATTTTCCGTTTAAGCTATACCAAATCTGAGTTGTATAATCATTCCGTATTTTTCTCGTTACTACATGAGTTTGCTGTTGTCTTTCTTTATTTGGCATTATATCCTCACTCATATGGGTTCTCCGCTTTATGTTTTTGTTTCGTTTTGGGATTTTGAATTTCATGATGCTTTAATTGTATCAGTCTCAATTTTTGTTTTATGTTGACGCATTGTTTTAACATTTTAGTGTTAATGAAGTAAGAGAAATCCTGTAACTTCCATAAATAGTTGTAGATATTTCCAGTTGACATTCACTTGGTAGCATGCAGTGGACTATGTATACATTATAAATTTTGAGTAGATTGAACGAGAATATGAAAGTCAAGTTGATATTTTAGGTATGTTATTTGAAAATTTTTTGTGCTGCTGGACATTGTAGGTTTCAAAGTCCCGTTTGTCACATTTTTCAGTCTTATTTTTCTCAAATTTGTTTTCTCCTTGGGGTTGTACTATTTTAAATAAAATTTTCTTCATTTGGTAATTTTTGCTGTTTGCGCATTTCAAACGACTCTGTCGTGAATAGGTATTTCACATAATCGCATATCGGTCGTCATACGAACTAGACCATTTTATATAACTTTCAGTGATTTCTTTTTAGCTGCGATATGGTGAGTGAATATTATCGGCTGGTTGATATTTTCGAAACGGTTTCAGTTTTTGCACCGAATGAAAAGGTTTGCAATTGAATTTCAAAATATGTATCATTTTATTCTTAAAGTGTTTCCATTATTCCCATGAACTGATCAGGTGACTTGTATTGATGGAACATCGAAGACATTACTTTTCGGCACTTCGCAGGGACGCATTTTACTTGTGGATCTTTCAACAAAGAGCGTGATTAATGCGTTGCAACTTTCAACGGTAATGATTTTAAAAAATTTTCGAGATCAGAAAGGATGCGGAAAAATTTTTGGAATTTGTAGAATTTAACCCCTTCTGAACGATGTTTTTAGAATGCTCCCGTTGCACAAATAGTGGCTGCCACAGCGCTTGGTTATTTTATTGTTCTGTCAGCGTCCACTCTCTATAATATAGAAATAGAAACATTGAAGGTAAACACATCCACGATGTTTTTCTTTTTTTTGAGAAATTATGCTACTTCAATATAGATTTTGGATTTACTGTTAATACTTCATATCACCATTAATATACATCTAACGTACTTTCCATATTTCAGATGGCAATATTTTTTTTTTTGTTTTGCAATTAGCGTCGGCAAAAACCATCAAATTTTAATAGTTTAAGCAGATTTGTTACACTTATAGTGAGTATTCATTGTTTTTTTGTACTTACTAATTGCAAAAGTTTTGGTCTGTATCTATGCTGAATAAGTTGAACTGAATTGAAATTAATTCGATTTGAAATATTTTTCAGCCAATTAGCTCAAGTACAGCATCAAATATAGCTCATCTGGCGCTGAATAAGGATCCAGTGATAGCAGATCCGTTTGCTTTACAGCTTGCTTTGGTTACGAACAATCGCTACATCCTGGTTTGTGAAAGCAAAGCGGGTAATTTGGTAGTTCAGCAGGAGATACGAACTGAGGACAATGTGGTTGCCTTGTCGTATAATAAATATTGCATATGCTTTGCTCTGCCTAATGCTTATTTTGTCCATAATATCCTGGAAAATAAAACTCTGTCGTTGTTCCCATACGACTCGCAAACTATACGTCCTATCATTATAAACACAGATGCGGTTAGTAAATTTTTGCTTGAAGTCATCTTACAAGAGTTAAGTTTCGAAGGAAATCAGTTTCTGACCTTTAAACTACAAGTATCAACAGTTTTAGGAGGAATTTCTGGTAAATGGTATGCAAGGTTTAGGCGTTTTCGCAACATCAGAAGGTGTTTCATCGCGACCGCCGCTATTCTGGGGTCTGACTTCTATTGTATCGTTTGCGTATCGTTCACCACACGTCTTTGTTCTAACAGCATCGTCAATTACCGTTTACAGGTTCTTTTTGTGAGGATTAAGCTTGATAAAAGTTTTAACCGGAGTTTCAAATTCGTTTGACAATTAACACAAAGTGCTTGATAGATTATGCAAGTATTTTTAGTTCCGAACAGTCAGTTGTTCTCCAAAGGTGGCCCTTCACAACTGGAACGTTGTTAGAGTGTATTGATGGGCAATTATATGTCTGCAATAGCAAGAATATCAGTCATCTAGAAGAAATATCGTGGTTTGATAGGGTATAAATTGAATTTGGTCATCATCTTGTTATTAAGCAAAAGATTGTTGCATGGCTAACTCAAACCATAAAAATTGAGGAAAGTTTTCTTTAAGGCAGAAGCTCTTATTGATAGTGGAGAGTTGAATGAAGCATTGAGATTTGCTGAAAATGCTATATCGAATGGGCAATATGACGAAGCAAAAATACTGGTAAAGTTGAAAATGTTCAATGAATGATTTTCTCATGAGAGATATTTTTGATGAAACAGGAAATATTGCAAAATAATTTCAGAAATTCAATGAGTTAAAGCAGAAAGTGGCCTTAGTGCTTTTCAAACGAGAAGAATTTGAAAAGTTTTACGAATTAGCCGTGTTATCCGAATTAGATCCTCGTGTGGTAATGAGTTCCAAATTTTTATCCACAAAAATTTTGCTGAATATACTTTTCCTTTGTTTTTGTTCCATGCTTCCCACTTGTTTTCTCTTTGCTGTCTATATTTATGTTTTCCAGGTTTTGGTATCATTTAAATTTTTACTTCCGTTTCCATCAGGATTTCGATCAAAGCCAAGCAAAGAAACTACAAAGTTATCAAAAGAAACTTTTGATGACTTCGTTACCGAAAAATCCGTTCAACTTATAACTTTTTTGGAACATTATCTGAGAGCAATCAGAAAACTTCATTGGACTGCTGGATTTCGTCGGGTACTCATTTAATGCATTTCTCAAAATTTCCGAAAGTAATGTTTGCAACCATTTATATTATTCAAAGCTAAAAAGTCGAGAATTCATTTTTGTGGACGATTATTCGTTCTTCTTTGGGTAGTATAGTATAGCTAAAATGTAATTTTAAAAAAAAAAAACTTAGACACCCAGAAACCAGAATATTAATTCTTGAGCACAAAGGTTAGAAAGTTGGGTAGTTGATGTTAGTTTCCAGATAACTCAATGAAAAGGGGAAACTACTATGTGAATTCTCTGATTTAGCAGACCATTACTCAGATCATCAATGACAGTGTGATCGTCCATGTGTTTAACTGTTTAATAAAAACCTGATAAATTATCAAACAAGTATCTTGCACGATAGATTGCAATAATTCCTGATTTTGTTACGTGTATCACATCTTTCATTCAAAATTTGCGCTCTTCAGGATATTGACGCTATACTATTAAGATTGATATCACTACGACAGGATGCACTAGATGCTGAGGATATGTCGTTAAATCTTCATTGCACATTTGACGACTGTAATGAATGGATGCGAAAACATAAGCGCCGAAAATTCCTTATTAGCATTGCATTTTGCCTTTCAGATTTTGATAATGCACTTGCAATAAGTCGAGAATTATATGATGAGAATCTTTTGGATGATGAAATTGCAAAACTGTGTCTGCAACTCTTTCCAAGGTGATTTGGCTAGCATAGTATGCATCTGAAGCAGATGTCTAATTATGCATACATAACTTTAAAGCGAATTCCTTGTTCGATTTGATAATATCAATCTTCACGGGTGCCCAAATGTTTCTTTCATTGATCTTTATTATTTTCTTAATATTACAAATTTTGCAGTTTTCATTCGGAACAAACAGCATTAAGTTGGGTCGGGTTTTTGCTCAAAGTTCGCCAGGTTGATGTAATCGATGGTCTAAAAAGATGTTCAGTCAAATTAGATCACTCGAAAATTATACAAATTTTGCAGCAAGAGCGAAGTGCACTGATCAAATACCTTGAAGGAATTAAATCCCTCCAAGTACTTATCTTTAATATTTAGAAATAGAATTTCAAATTTGCATAGCTCAGTTTTATTCTTAGTTAGCATTCTGGAAACCTGCAATATTTCACTACTATCAAAATTAGCCACTATTGGTGTAAATGATAAAAGATAATTTGAAGTTTGAAGTTATGGTTCTAAGTTTACTTTTATGCTGTGCATTGTTTACAAACGTTTTAGTAATTGGACATTTTCTTTCCTACATGCAAGATCTAACGGTGCGTTACACAAAGTTAGTAGATAAAGAAATGAATTAAAATTATTGTAATGATGAACACTGAAATCTTTTTCTTGCAGAACGAAGAATTCCATTCAATGCTGTTTTCAATGTACGTAGACGAAATCAACACATTATTGGAAGATGAAAAAAGTGAAAAGTCGTGCAGAAGGGAGCTACGTATCTTCCTTCTTCAGCCAAATAAGCTAAATTTACGAGGCACACGTGCTGTTCTCAAGAGTTACCCACACTTTGCTGTCGAATTGACCTTGCTAGAAGGTGTTAAGGTAGCTTTATAATTTAAAGTTTAATTACTAATGGTATTGATTTGAGAAGGATAACATCATTTGAAATGCTTGACGTCTTTCACGCGTATGTTCCAACGCATTGGTTTTTTTGAATGCTATATTTCAACATAAATTATTCGAAATTTTATTGACTCTAGATATATTTTGTTAGAGTATCTTTAAAGTAATAGAAAGTTTTTAGTTTTTTAAAGGATAAATTATCAGGAAAAAGACTCTATTGAATGCCTGGAAAAATTGCTCAATAATCACAGAGATTACGATGCAGCTGAATTATTCTGCATTTATACAGATACATCGGAGTACGTTCTGAGATTGACACTTCTGAAGTTCTATCTGCGAAATATCGCGTTAGTTCCTGATTAGTTTCACTGGCAGTGTTTTCATTAATCTGCTTTTGTTTTATTCTTGAGTGAGCTCGCTTTTCCTAAAATTTTACAAGTCTTAATCGATTCACGGACAGTTTCTCTTTTCTTCCATTAATGATGTTTATATAGGTCACAGCCGGAATTCAAATCACGTATAATCAGTTTACTAAACACACCTGGTTTTACATCAATTGAAGCTGAAGTATTGCAAGATATTCCAAAGGAATGGTCATTATCGTCAATTCTTTGTTTCGTAGAAAGCACCGTACTGTCAGCAAAAGACCAGTCGCATTGTCAGCAGCTGAAGGGAAAGGTATTTATCAGTAATTTGGTTCAGAGCAACATGCCTTCAAGCTTTTCATTTGTTTACTGAAGTCCACCGAGAATTTCAAATTTACGAGTGGGAAATAAATGATATTTTTCCGGCTATGGCACAAGCGTTAAAAACACTCTCAAAGGAAGCACTGAAAGCCGCTCATCTACATATTCAAATTGATGAAAAAACAACATGTACTGCATGCAGGGCACCGATCAATAATGAAGATGTCGCATGCTACCCACATTCGAGACAGATATTCCATCGAAGGTGCTTGAAGAACTGAAGTGATCTTGACACACACACAAGTACGTTCCTTTGCTTCACCTCTCATTGTATAAAATGTGCTTCTGTAAACAAAACTTACTAGTACTTGCACACCTTCTGGATCTCCATCTGCTCTCCACCTCAATGTAACATGTATGTGGAATCTTAGAATCGTCAAATACGACCGTAAATTCAAAACTGAGGTCTAGTACTGTGCGAATTAAACAAAATAATTTGATGAGCTTGCGCTCATGTCAGTGTCAAAGTACAATGGATATGATCTAAGAACAATTGTATTGAATGATGGACATCTCCGATGTTTCTGATATTCATTTTTGTCAAGAACGATGTTCATAAGAAAAGATTTACTGAAATATATTGAAATTTTTCGTACATTTTTCTCAGACAAAATATATGAAATAAGTTCCATTACGACCAATTCACCACACAAGACAATACCGCGCTTTTCACATTATATGAATGAGTTACAATAAGATATAGCGAAATAAACAAATCGAACAATATCACGGGACATGGAACCCGTATTTACATTAATTTTACTAACAGCTCTTACTCAGAAAAAATGTGTTTAAGCTGGAAGAGTTAAAGTGTCATTTTCGCTTTGTCTTTCGATGTTGACTGATCGTGCAAGAATGCTTCACTCTCTGTAGACCCTAAAAATCTGCATTTCAAAATAAAAACAATTTAAGTTGAAGATTTGGCGGTAGAAATTACGAAAATTATTTCACCAAAACCGTAGACTATTAGGGATCAATAAGTGAAACAAACTTATAATAGGGAAGAATATACCGCTTGGAATTGTTACAGAAGAAGTGACAGCACTTTCTTTCTTGCCTTCCTGGGCTTCTAACCATTCTGCCATTTCAGCTGCTTCTCTGTCACTAACTGGAGCATTTTTATTTGCCATCATTGTTAGTTGACTGGTACCACTTTGCTCCCGTATACCGGAAGCTTCCGTCCTTTAAAACATTTTGGAACTTCCAAGCATAAATTTATATTTCCTCAAATTATTGTAAACTACCTCGTTGTCCTAATTTAAACCATCATTTTCCAGAAGGCAAAACGACGTCAGTCGTTTAAAATTAGAAATGAATTTATGTTAACGAAATCATCGGGATCCTCAAATTAAGCGTATCTCGAGGTGCAGTGACAGCATCCGTCGGATTCGACTGTATGAAGACCCTCTAAAAATCGATTCACAATACCAGTCCGCTAAGTGCACACAGAAAATCTAAGCCATCATGCACGATTGTCTTCTATGATTGCACAGGGCTTTTGGAAACACATCGGATCATGATCCTATTATTCAGTCATCCTACTTACATGAAGCATCTTCATCGAATCTTGAGGAAGTAATGAAACTAGAAATATAAAGTTACTACCCGGTAAAACTAGAAGCATCAGAAATTTTCAATGCATCAAGCTGCTGATTCAGTGTCTGATCATCTAGTTCAATCAAGTTGCTCTCCGAACCTGCATTTTCTTTCATACCAAGTGCGCGATTAACCATATAACGATTATATTTTTCAAAAAGATTGTTACAATCATCGTTTACCATCAGTAGCTCGTCTGAAACTCATCCAAAAATTATAATTCCATCTTGCTGTCAGTATCTGCATTACTTCTTTACCACTTCAAAAGTTAAGAATTCTCAATCCCAATGAATTTTCGGTTTACCGTAATATAAAGCGTAACTATAAGATACATCTAATGCTAATTTAAGAGGTCACTTTAAAATTATCGCGCACTAATTAGAATAGAATTTGCCGAAAATGCAGAGCATATCCTTAGTTTAAGCTTTAAAAACATATGTTCCACCTTGTCTTAGTACTTTGCAATCACAGTTGTCCATAAATATGTCATCCATAAAAATAGTGGTGGAATGTAAAGTGGAATTCATTTCCCTATGTTTCAGTACTTCGCAATCAACTGAATATATAGCTTCCTGTTTACAAAAACATGACAACTTGTATTCGTCTGAAGAGGAACTTACACATGACTTCATCATTCTGAACGGAACGAATAAGGTCTTGAATTCGCACATGCATCTGCTTTACAACAATATGCAATTCGTCCAATAGCTGCAAATCATCCGGAGCCTCTTTCCCGGGAACCATCTCAGATAACAATTCCCGCATAACCTTAAATGAAATACACTAAGTACTCAGCTCTGAAACTTCCCACCAGAGCTCGAAATAATAGCATTAAAACGCATTTCACTGTGAACGACGACTCTGGATTGATTCGAATTTTACACAGTTTATGGAAACCTCGAGTTTTTAACATTTCGAGTTTCTCAAACCTTAACATGAACAAACTGATGCATGTTACCTTCAAATTGCCGTTTACTACATCGAGTTCCTTGCGTAATTTCTCCAGTTGTTGTGGTGTAGGCTGCACAGACTGCGACGGACCAGCGAAGTTCTGTAACTCGAGATCCTGGAAAATAATAGATTACTGACGAAATTCTAAAACGACAATGAAAGTGAAACTGCTTAAAGTTCCTAACTTTCACGAATTTTAAAAAGATTGAGATTAGTTCAGTAATGTATTAAGCACGTTAGCTGTCGAAGCCACTCCAATACCACATTGTCGATACTCTTTCAGTTCATTTTGTTAAACCATTTTGGTGAATTTTTACGATTTACTGTGGGAGCAAAAGCTGATTGGATTGTATTTCTTGGCTACACTTACACCTTTATGCCCTTTATTGTTAAAATTTCTTTTATTCTGTCAAGCTAAAATTATTATGTAACATCGAAAAGTCTGCTGAAGTATTGTTGGCAAAAAATTTACCTCGTTTGGTTGTATGAACAACTTTTCTCTAATCTTATAAAGGAATATGAACAACTTTTCTCTAATATTATAAACGAATATTAAAATTATGGTATTGGAGTGGCTTCGACAGCTAACGTGCGTTAATACATTAATTTTTCCTGTAGAACCAAAGATAACAGAACATCATGGACAGATTTCATGTACGTTGGATGCAAGGGTTCTCTGAATTATAACAAATTTGATTGGGAAGATTAACTGGACTGATGTGTCCTTTTAAAATTCGTTATTTCATAAATGCTTACGAAATAAATAACATCTATTTATCTATTCATACATCTTTATTCTATTTATTTCATAAATGCTTACGAGGTAAATAACATTTATAAACGCAAAGTAGAGAAAAACTGAATATCAACAATGTGTGATCAAAGACAACGGTAGCACTGAGTATTCAAAAAAAGAAATGAGAATAGCACTTACCTCAGTGAAACTATCTACTTGGTTAAATATATATCAATTACTGTGATTCTTGTATTATGAAAGCCTCAAAGCATTATATTTTTCCAATAGAAAAGTAGGATGAACCTTGTTCAGCCACAGCGCTGCGAATGACAATTATCAAAAATGAAATCAATGAAGACAGTTTTTTTGAACTATCTTCAGTGATTTCATTTGTATATCGTTATATATCTCGATAGATATTTTTTTAAGCGGTGTAGCAAATATGGAAGAGGTGATGGAAGATAAAAGTGCAATAGTTGCCTTCTGAAGTTTCTGAAGGCAACTATTGCACTTTTCGCTGAAAGACGGTAGGCTCTGCATATACTTCAGAGATGTCAATCAAAATAAACAACTAACTGACTTAATTTTGGAGTGTTAAGAGTACGTAAAGATGAGAATTAAAGACTGAAGTTCCGAAACAGATCTCTGCGTTTCGCTACCATGATTCTATACCTAGTTCTATTAAAAATTTAAATGTTCATTCAAACGACGACCGATTTAGCATACTGCATTATTAACCGTATTATGCTAAAGAAAGAAATAGTTTTACATACCAATATGCCCTGTCCTGTGGCATCTTCTTGAACATCAGAAGCCGTCTTTTTAACCGGAAACACAGTCTAAATAGAGCAAAAAAAAAGCCTGTATAAAAGACTTAACAAATTTCATGTTTAACTAACTAAAATTAATTAACAAAATTTGTTCCACCAACTGGTTTCCCAAGTGCATTAATAATTACAGATAAATATTTAATGAGTGAAAAAAATGATAAGGCATGTGTCGTAAGAAAGAATTTCTATCGGATGATAATAAATTGTCCAACATTTTTCCAAAAGAATATTGTCCTCACACCTATAAGGAATTACAATAAACCTACTCTTTTGGGAGTTAATATCGGTGCCATCGAATTAGGATCTGCAACGGGAAATTGAACACCCTTCGCTTTCAGTTCATTGTAAATTTGACAAACACCTTGTAAACGTGGATCATCTTGAAATACATCATTCCATGACTGGAATTTCTTTCTGTAGTTTCTGATTGGAACTTTCAAGAGCATGAATCCAAACTTCCTCTCGTTAATTTTATTACTATGAGATGAACAAAAACAAGGTGGACGCTGATTACACATTTATATTGTTTGGCTTACTAAAAAATGATTTCTCTCATGACTTTTCGCAGAAAAAGCAAAATAAAGAACATTCGAAAGAGTAGGTACAGTCAAAAAAATTAACTTTTGTATGAATCGAACGAGTGAATATAAATTAAAACGGTTGAATAAATAACCTGAATTAAGCCGAGAACATGTTCTTGTATTACTTGGGGTGCATCAAACTTCGGACCGAGAAGCTTGACAAGTTCGTTTATAAAGTCCTTCTGACAAACTAATTCGTGAAATCGGATATCACAGTTCTTTACACACGTTTCTAACACTGTTAGTGTGTACATAACAACAGCATTATTTTTTGACATTTGTGAATGCAGTCGTTTACGAATTGCGCGCATAGCATCACGTCCTCTGTAACAATCTGTTGAATGGTCTAATAAATTCCTAATCTAGTAGAAGTTGAAAAAAACAGATCACCTGTCTTTACTGGCCAAAAATTCCAGGGAAATGGAAAGAAGAAAGTGCGCACAAACCCCTCTGCCGTATTGTTGATGAAATCACAAATTTCCATATTTAATTCCCAATTTTCAGTTGCCAAAACAGTTGCATCGGTCGCCATTTCTACAACAAATATTTTATCAAAACAGACGCTACAGAATGAAATAATAAAAAAAGTTGACAGAAATCAACGTCAGCATTTTTCACAGTAAACACTGAAATGCACGGAAACGAATGCAAAAAAATTCATTTGACGAGATGGTTCTCCTGCTCCTTCACTCTCATTTACAATTCTCCGAAGAAGAATTACGCCACTCAGTTTATGTGCAAAGCTGCAAATATCACGACAAAGTAACCGATTTTGCGTCCAACTGGCGTAGCA